TGACGTTCCGTCAAAGTAACTAGTTGTGGAACAGTGAAAACAGTGAATCAAGAAAATGTCGAAAATCAAGAAATTAACATCACCCATATGAATTATAGGCCTAGCTTTCCTAATTTTTGACATTTTACGTCAAGTATTTACTTATACATCTGCACTTCACGAGGTGCTGATATCATTGCATAGTTGCCCAATCAGCTGATGTCTGCAGTGTATACCTCCCGAGCCAACCACTCCAAGGACGGTTGCTCAAGAACGTGAACGACGAGTGGATCGTCAGGCAGCAACTGTGCATTGATGCTAAGATTACATACTTTGAGCACCCCATGGAGTGTAGATGGATTATGAAGTGACCCAATTATGGATTATATGTAACTACAAGTTGCATATTCCAAAAGCTAAACACATAATATCAATATGTGATAAACTGCTTTCATTGTTCAAAATGTCGTCCAAAACTCAGACTGAGTGATGTCAGAACTTTGCCACGCATATCCATGACAATTGTTACCATAGTAACTATAACTTTTATTTACACGTATTTGGTTGTTAAGGAATTTTCAAAGAGTAGAGTTATGATCTTGTGAAAGTTTCAGGAAGAGAAAAGCAAGCGAATAGAAGTTATATGGCAAAATTAGCTATTCTTATTGAACGCCCTTCACTAAACTCACGTTTCATATTCCAAGTAGGCCTCTCGACGAGGAGTATATAGGATTGTCAAGATAGGAATACAGGTTGATTATTTAAGTAATTGATGAAATTCCTCCAAAGACAAGTTATTTTGATTAACATAATTTAATTGTCATCGTTTTTGACAGATTCTTAAACAAATTAACAAACAATAATGGTTTGGCTTAAACATGAGCGGAGTCTTTATTTTTCATTCACATTACATTATTATAAATTGCGATTAAACCGCCCGAATGTATAATACAATATTAGTAATTTAAAAAAGGGTGGACTATGGGTTGAAAACCTGCCAATGGTGCAATAAACAGTGAATTGAATATAAAACATAGATGTCATTACAGTCATTCGTCCAATTAAAAATCATTTGCACATATAAATAATCTATTATGCTATTTACCCACATTTTGAATCACTTTTTGATGAAATTTTGACAATGACAGTTTTTTAGCTTGTGCAAATGAATTCGTCGGCGTGAGAGCACGTCTAGATCTTCCGAACACTTAATTTCGCAACATGTTGAAATTGTTTATGCTAAATGCATGGACGGTCATCAACGTTTCACAACCAGAACACATTATCCAAAGAAAATGTCATCATAACTGATGAGGAAGGTATTTTTGACTATTTTTCAAGATTGCTTTCATTGGCCACCTTCACTAGGAGAATACGAAGTATGATTACAGGTTATTTGGTAATATAAAAGATGTGGCAATATACTTGGGTGCATCAAAAAGTTTTGCAATTTTGACACTATCTCAAGTTCTACATTTAGCTTTGCTTTGAAATTTGGTACAATCATAGATCATACATTTCTACATAATGTGTCATGATTTAGCTGCTCATCTGTGATTGGTTAAAAATATATGGTTGCTATAGTAACGGGACCCGAGGGTACTCGGTTCCACCTAGAATATGTTAATTTTAAATTCTATTATATTCTGTTTTTATTATGATTCAGTCACCAAAATTACAGGTTTGTGTGTCTTTTCATTCCCCTTTTTCTATTTCTTATTGTTCTGATGGCATTACAAAAGACTTTTGACATATGGATTTACATTATGATATAGATTGTGGGGAGAACTTGTGAATTCTGGCAGCCATTTTGTTTCAAGTAAATTTCAGGGGAATTTCAGGCTGTCTTCATAGACTAGGTCCATAGACGTCAACAATGTATGGCAGCTGGGGACAATTATTTTGAATAATTTGAGAACAATATTTGCAGAAAATTGATAACAGGAATTTGAGAATAATGTTTTAATATGCAGAACATAGTTAATATGAGACTAAACAGGGTGTTGGCAAATTGATATCATTTATTCTGTTTATTGCGTAATAATGAATTTGCATGGAACCATGAGGTCGCATCTTATGTTGCTATGACAACCATATTTTCTTTAAAAATGAAGATCCAGTCTCCAAATTTTACAGGTATGTCCAAAAATGTATGATATCTGTATGTGCCAAATATGATGACATAGCTCAATATAGTTATTGCGATAGAGTCAAAATTGCAAAACTTTTTGATGCACCCAAGTAGTATCCTTAGTTATTACAGTACAGTGAACATCAACAAATTCTCAAACAGCATCCATTTTATTTCACACGCTTGCCTCCTTAATGTCTGATCAAACTGTAATATATCTGTCATCAATTTTAATTTATTCCAAATGCACATTGATTAATGATTAATAACAGTCACGTGGTACTCATCGTTTGATAAATATTTTTAGAATACTCGAACAAACAATGGGTAGATAATTATATCTTGACCTATTACTTCAGCGTTTTTTATTATCCTCGACTTTGCAATACAATACCGTCAGATCAAGCCCCTTTTTGGTCCCCATTTTTGATTGGCCGAAAATGTAGATCTCCATTTTCTGACATGCAACTTCATATCAAGATGCGGGATCAAGATCAAGCAATTTTGATTTAGTTTTATGATCTAAAAACATATTTTATCCATGATATACACCCCGTGTATATCATGGATATATACGCAATAAGTGTCCCGGTCACCTGACAAAAAGTGTTCAATGGTAATGGTGTGACATCTCGTCTCTTATTGTCTACACATCTTAAATTCCAAGGGAGAAATCATAATTGTGTTTTAATGAATGTTGGATTATGTCGAAATTCCCACGTATTGCAAACTATTTTCAGTGCAGGAGGGAGGTTTAGACTTATAAAGCGAGAAAGAGGTTTTACATGTGAAAAATACGTTTTGCAAGGATCATATGGTATCATAGATTGTAGGTTAATTTTTGATACATTAACTGTTGTGTCAAATATTGTTTACATTCATTAACGTTTTCAAGATTGTACTCAAATACAGTTTTGTCACATTGTAGATATAGATAAACATAACCTACTGTCTTGTATTTCATGGCAGTTCTGCAAGTTTATTTATGGAAATTCGGAAGAATTGTTCACTGTTGCTATGTAAGTACAGTCATCTTCATAATATGTTACATCTAAAATCTTAAACACTAAACAGATATTGCTTTTAATGGAAAACAAATTGAAAATATAAAAGTCTTACATATTTGGTACAACTATCTCACACTCTGTGATGCGTATGATACAAACGTGTAATAAGATTGAAGAGTGCAAAAGTAAACGTTTGAATACAGCGACACAACTCTCAATAAATCATATACATAGGGAATATTCTTTATGTAAAGGATATTATAGATGTGAATGGCAATTTACTTAAAGAGGAACATATTTTAGGAAAATTAAAAGACAAGAGAAACTGGATTTCAGAAATATCTTTAGCCAGGAAAATACTGCAACCTTTCGAAAAAATGATGAAACCTAAAATTGCTAAGTTTGTAAACATTATGAAAGGACAATTTTTTACACAAATGATAAAAAAGTATTCTTCAAAGATCAAAAATCTAAGTTTTTCTATAATATCCTTGAATATCATAATAAAGAAAGAATGTACACTAAAGATAAATGGAAGATTGAATTTAAATTTCACATAAATTGGAAAATGTATTTTAATAACAAGATTATAGCAATTGTTGATAAAAAAGTAGCTTACTTTAACTTCAAATTATTTCATAATGTTCTTCCATCTTCCATAGATCTTTTTAAGTGGAAAAAAGCAGATTCAAAAATTTGCAATTTTTGTAAGGTTGAAAATAATTTAAAACACATTATTATAGAGTGCGATCAAATAAAAGACTTGTGGATCTATATTTCTTCAAAATTAAAAATCAAAATTTCATGGAAAAATATTGTTATTGGCAATAATATTATTTTTAAAAGAAGTCATGAAAATGTCATTGATCTAATAATATCAACATTTGCATATAACAGCTATAAATCATGGCTCATTAGCAAAGAAAAACATAGTCCAAGATCATGGAGGAACACATTATATTATTCAATCGCACACCTATGTATTTATGAAAAGTCAACCTATGAAATTAAAAATATTAAATCATATATACAAAAATTAAAAGAATGAGGTGTTCATGCCGCAGTCTTAGGCAAACCTTTATTTGTAACCCCACTATCCATTCTTTGGGGAAAATTGTACTTTCTATTATTTTGGAATAAAAAAAATATATATATATATATATATACATAGGGACGTGGATACTAAAACAGCACATGAGTGTTTAGTAGTCATCATATTTCGGCAATATTTGCATTTTAGGTACATTAGCATACGTGATTCTCCTATGTCGTTCACAAAAAGGTAAAATATTAAATTTTCTTGAAAACTCTTGTTCTGATTAAATTGCTTACAAATAGTTTTAAATACAACGGTCATTATTTCTATTTAATATTTCATTAAATGTTAAATACGTGTTGAAATAGTATCTACTTTTAGTGTAAATACGATCGAGAATTACGGTCGGGCATGATTGTGTTCTTTCCCAAAAGGAGTCCATAAAACGACTTTCTCCTTGAAATATAAAACGGTCTTATATTGTAGAGTGCAAAGACGGCACGGTTGGTAGTCGTTATAGGGGGACGATATCAGTAACAGCGCACGATAACCCGTGCCAAAGATGGGATTCGCAATTTCCTCATCCACATAGGTAAGGTGATTTTCGCCTGAAGAATGGGCTTGGTGCTACTTTGTACAGGCTGAGCTGTTATGTTTTACCCTGTGTATTATTCAAAAAGAATTTGGACCTGATGTATCTGTTGTTTCACTTTCACTTCAAAAATTATCCTATGTACTCAAAAAATTGATTTCTGCAAAATTCGAAAGTTGTTTTTGACAATGTTTTGTGTCCAGTGTAAATTATAAATGCATGAATCGTGTGTTCCGAGTTTTAATTTCAACTTCATACAACCTTATATCCATCCAGTTGTTTCACATCCTCTCTTTCAAATAGATTATGTGAAAGTGTTTTATTTCTATTTGGTCATCTTGTATTTTATCTAAAACACAGACTGCTAGCTTCTGTGTTGAGTACACATGGGGACAATTTAGGTTATCGCTTTAAAGCCTTTTAACATTGTTTTGGATAATAATACTGGGAACTGTATATTCAATTCGTGCATAAATGTAGACCATATATTGTAAGGAAAGCATCATGAAATATATCATTTCTATTAATATTATCTCACATTTTAACAAAAAATCAACATCAATTTGTACTTTTTTCAAATTTATCTCACATAGGACGAATCCTTTAGACCTACCAGACAGAAGTTTAACAGACGCCCAGAATTTCTGTCGCAACCCCAATGGGGAACCCTTTGGTCCTTGGTGTTACACCACAAATCCATACATTCGTAAACAATACTGCGATATACCTCTTTGTGGTAAGTAATACACATATCGTTAGGACGTTGTATTCGACTGTGATATAAATATAAGAAAATAGTTTTCCATTGTTATTTCCTTATGGGCCTTACTCTTGAAAGATACAAAGATATTCATCGAAGAATGAAATATCTGAATGCCTTTGACAAGCGCATTGAGGAACTACTTGCAAAGAAAGTGTGTAGGCCTAATATGTATTTTATACAGACTGCAAACAGACAGAAGTTGGCCGAGAATATGTCGGAGTCATGGGCCGGTCTAAAAACGGATACCGTTGTCAGAGATGGACTTCTCAAACTCCACATAACCACTCCCAATACGACCACACGCACTTCCCAGACAACTCCGTCGCGGATGCCCAAAACTTTTGCCGAAACCCCGACGGCAAGCCAGGTGGACCCTGGTGTTTTACAATCCTGCGAGATATTGTTTGGGATTACTGTGAAATACCAAGATGTGGTAAGTCAAGAACACTGTGCATGCATCTGACAATGACTTCCCATTTATGATTATCATAGAAACTGTACCTGAATTTTTCCCGTTTTGTAGAATGCAGGTATTCAAACCAAGGGTGGGAATATATGGGTAATCGAGCAATGACGTCGTCTGGGTTGCCATGCCAAAGGTGGGACGCGCAGAGTCCTCATGAGCATTCCTTCACGAATACTTCAAGGTAAATAGAGATTATTCCATGATGATATAGGTCTTAGTAGTCTATATGCACTATCTTCCTGAACGTATTAATCACAATTGAAGACCTAACCCTACTATCACACCAAACTAGTTCTCACTACGTTCTTGAAAACGGGCTTAAACTGTGCACGAACGGATTTGACGTACTAAGAACCCACTAAGAACCGTTTTGGATCTGTTTACAAACGTCATGAAACTACTAGAACGAGTAGGTCCTCCAGCACTTAGAGCATGCTCAAAATTTTCTGGTGATCGTCAAAACGTTGCCGAATCGGTTTTACTTGAAACTGTGTGCGAACTGAATGAACGTAGCTACAACGTTCTACGGTCTGTTTACGAACTTCATGGACTTTCCCGGACGGGGTATGTGATTTAGAATTTTGAATCGATTCAAAATTCGTTGGCGACCATACCGTTCTGTAATCAGGTCATGATTACCTTCTAGACTAAGGGACGGTTTATACTACGTTGCACACCGACGTGGTGCGACCTGAACGAACTGCGAATAAGATGGACGTATTGAACACTGTTTATGAACGAAGTAGCTAATTATTTTAGACATATATCCCGACCGCAGGCAGATTGAGCCCGTTTTACGACATTTTCGTAGGCCTGGCAAGAACGGGTAAGAACTAGTTTGGTGTGATAGGGGGGTAAAATAACTTAGATACAGAGTTAACCTACTTGTATTGTACACGCAGTATATAGTAAACAGTATAGTATATATGTTACACTAAATAATATGCAAGATTTGAAAACAACCCAGCCGGCTCTGGGAGACTTTACCAGTAAATAAGAACGAAACCCTCTATATTAAAGGTAGTGCTATCAAAACAATATCAAAATGCTTGCCCTAGAATTGAATATTTTTCTTACTTTCATAGGTTTATAACAACCCCTACCTGGCCATTTCAGATTTCCAGATGGTGACATCACCAAGGCCGGTAATCTGTGTAGGAACCCCGACTCGAGTAAGCCCGGGGGTCCCTGGTGTTTTACTATGGACCCGAGGACCACATGGGAGTACTGCAAAGTACGATTTTGCGGTTAGTCAGCTTCTTAAATACAAATGTCAACCGTTCCTACCTATACCACTTTCAAAAAGTTAGAATATGGGGCACTAATCCATAAACTATCGGTATAATCCGATAGTTGAACGTATTGTTCTTAGTAAGATGTGAAATGAGTGGTCCAAAATTACTGATAATTGAAAATAACGCTGTCCAAAAGTATTTGCTGTACCCGGTTATTTGTTTCAGATTGCAAGTTAAGGTATTGGGGTATTGAATACACGGGCAAGGTGTCCTACACTGCAGATGGGACGAAATGTCAACGTTGGGACTCTCAATCCCCCCATCCGCATGATACATACCCCGAGGATCTCCCCGATCTCTCCCTTACAAGAGCAGAAAACTTTTGCCGAAATCCAAATGGTGACCGACCTCTTGGTCCGTGGTGTTATACGACAGAACCTGAGGTTGAGTGGGCATATTGCAGCGTCCCACTGTGTGGTAATGGTTTTGATATGTGCATCCCTTTCATGTGAATGCAGTAAAAGTATTATTTTAAATGGTGACCCAATCCACCAAATAATAAACCAAGCAAATCATTGAATGCGAATCAAGATCATTTTACGGACATAATGTTATTGTTAATTTGTTCTTTTCAGAATGTAAACTCGATCCTTTTGGGAATAACTATTTCGGCAAAAAGTCCATGACAAACAGCGGTGAACTTTGCCAGCGCTGGGATTCGAGGACTCCGCATAACCACTCAAGTTACGATCCCGAGGCTTTCCCGGACGACAGCCTCATGGAAGCTTCGAACTTCTGTAGAAATCCAGACATGACTCTTAACGGTCCATGGTGTTACACACAAAACCCGAACGTCGAGAAAGATTTCTGTCATGTTCCCATGTGTGGTGAGAGAATGTTGTTTGCCCTTCAAATGTATGATTTGCGATCACGCTCTATTTCCAATATAACATCAACGATTTTCGCCTAGATCTAGTTAATAGGGAGTTAAAGCTTGCATATAAAATCGAAACGCCAACCTATACATATACGACCAATCGCCCATACAAATATTTTCCTTTCACGTTTAGTTTGTGAAAAACACTGCAAGCTTAAACTCCCTATTATCAAACTGAGATATAATTTTCCATATTAGCTTTGAGGGGGGTAGCTAATACTTTAGATTACTCGGCTTAGACACTACCTGGGCATACCATTTTTGTTTCAGATAACTATCCTGATTTCGTTATTCCAACTCTAAGACCTCCACATGTTGAAGGTATGATTTTTAATTCTTGGTTACACTTTTTTCATGTTAAATCCATTAATTACCTAACATAGATATTATACTTTTTATGTATTCGTACGACAGGTCAGCAATTTGTTAATTACATCGATCTTACCATATAGCGTGCCATTTGTAAAATCATATATTCTTAGCTCAAACTTAATGATGTGTTAATTGTGAAACTTCAGAGCGATTTGAGAACGTGCTCTACTAATCTGCTTTTGTATAAATGTTATACTTGTAATTGAAGAATGTAAGAAGACACGTTTGGGGAAAAATTACATGGGGCGGAATATATACACAACGAGTGGCAAGGTTTGCCAAGATTGGACATCACAGTATCCACACAGGTAAAATTATTTAGTATCGGGAATCTATCATGTCCTGTCATGATGCAATCTGTTTTGGACATAGTATTTCAATAATTAGATCATTAATTGTATTCTTTTTATTCTGCTAACTTAGTTATTAAGTTACAGATTCATCCTTATTAGACCTCATGGAAATAATGATTTCACCAGTAAGTTATTTGTTATAAATGTTTCATTATGTTTTATTTGTTATCTTTAAATTTTTTAATATCCCTGTGTTCCGGATCACCCTGTACATTGTCTGGTTTACGTTATATCTGGTAAATGGTTTGTGTGCTAACGGTTTTCAAATGTCCTCCAATTGGATTATCCCTACAAAATTTCTTCGCTTTCTAAAGACACGACGTGTATGAAGACAGCCAGTTCCCGGACTACACCATTGGAAGTGCTTTGAACTACTGTCGCAACCCTACAAACAAACCAAATGGTCCTTGGTGCTTTACTACAGACATAAACACAGAATGGGAATACTGCGCCATTAATTATTGTGGTATTGTATTTTATTTTTGAGTAAAGTTTGGTTTTATCGATAAATCTTTGTCATATTTATTTCCAAATAAATGTAAAGAAATAATTCATATTTGCAGATTGTATGGAGACGCCACGTGGTGAAACTTACGACGGACATAAACTTAAAACGTTATCGGGCATCCCATGTCAGAGATGGGACTCTCAAACTCCCCACAACCACACATTCGTTGACAGCGACCTTTTCCCAGATGCAACACTAAACGATGCGGCCAATCACTGTAGGAATCCAAACGGACGGCCAAATGGTGTTTGGTGCTTTACAACCGACCCAAATATTGAGTGGGAATACTGTGGTGTCCCGATATGTGGTACGTTTCTTTTGTAATTGATTAATAAAAAAACATACGTTTCTCTGAATAAATTAGCACTGAAAGCATTTATCTTTGATTGAACGATTGATGGACTTAAAAATGTTAGTGTTTCATGCGCAACACAAAAAATATTTACTGGATCAAAAAAGAGAGAAAATAATTTCAGGCAGGTCTAACGAAAATGTACACGTAAGACCTAAAATATCATAGACAGATACATTACGCGCTCAACCACGTGCGCTTCATTTCAAATATAAAACAGAAATGGGATAAAAGTATGTAACGATTTGTACGTTAATCAGCACTTACGTGTTGCAGAATGCAATGAGCATGCGAAGGGTCGTTATTACAGCGGAAGTCAAACGTCCACTCGGTCGGGCAAGTCGTGTCAAAGATGGGACAAACAGATACCCCATCAGCATAAAATTAGGTAAAATTAAACTCAATGATCATCATGTATCAATACAGAAAATATATATTCAATCAATTTTTCGAAAAGTGACAAATGTTTTTCGTCAAATACATTGCAATTTGATTTTTTGTAAATTTCAGAGCAACTGATCTTACTGACGGTAACCTCACAGCTGCTGGACCTAAGTGTAGGAATCCCAATGATAGAGACAGACCTTGGTGTTTTACAACAGACCCTGATACAAGGTGGTTAAACATTGTTTTTGATTCATTTCCATGAAAACCAGAGAAAAAATCACTTTCACCTCAAGCTCACACTTTGTGTCAGTTTTTTAAACTTTAGTTACATTTTAATGCATAATCTTTTTCTAAATAATTCAAAATAACATTACAATAAAATACAATACAATGCAATACAATACAGTGCGGTGCAATACAATACAATTGCAATTACAATAGAATACAATATCAAAATCTCATTCAAATTTTTATTACTATTATCTCGAATTGCTGTTTTCTTAAGGTGGGAATTCTGTGATATTCAAAATTGTCGGCTAGACGGTTTGTCAACCACGCCATCCCCAGGTAAATTTAAAAGTACAAACTCTTTATAAGTCTTTTTGTAAACTAGTTTTAGAATCAAAATGACCTTATTTTGAATTAGAAAACTTAACAATCACATTTGATAATCGTGTTTTCACAGCGTACGACGTATCTTGTATTGTATACTGATTCACGTTTTAAACTATATGGGAACGGATGAAAAACATCCCCATACGTAAATTGTATTAATATATATTTACCATGTTTTCTAAATTTCAAGATAACTGTCCTCGAAGAATAGGTAGATACCCTACAAATTTGCAGCGTACGGGGGATAACTCTGCCCATCTTATGATCTCCAACACATTCCCTTGTGATGGAATAATAACAGCCTGGGAATACTGGAGGAACAATCTCGAATCTGTTGGATATATCTCAACATGGCGATGGGACCCGGATGTTAAAAACAACGTGATCTTAATTTCAAAAACTGCTCTTCTGCCGTTGGTTGGTCTCGGCCGTCATATCTATACGCTTCGAACACATATCAATGTCAAAAGGGGAGATTTTATTGGGGTCCATTACTCAAGGTTGACTAGAAATCCGATGTTACCAAACTCTCGTGGTGACAATGAAGTGCCAAACTGGGAGCTCTTCGACACGATTAACATCGCTAGGTTTAACGAAGATTTTAAAGTCGGCAATAAAATAGATATTGGAGGGATAACTCCAATTAGGAGCACATATGCCCTGCAAGCTTGGTTCAAAGGTAGATAAACATATCATACTCCTTTTTTACAAACAAGATCTGAAGAATTTTAGCTTTTCAAGACACAGAGTACATGTTTCAGACTCCTATATTCTTAGTTATTTCTAAAATACAAGGTGACACAAAAATGCCACCGATTAATGTTAAAACTTAATTTTAATGAAAACTAGTTTATGCTCCATGGAGCAGCTTCACAAGAAGTTTCAGATGACTAGCCCAACTGCATTGCAAACTGCAAATTCAACTGCAAATGCAAATGCATTTTTATGAGTGTTACAAAATTTGCTTTAAATGTCGACATTCCCTTGCAGGCACTTCTGGATTCTACACAGAACATGCCATGGCCCCTTCCTTTTGTATCATAACATTGTAAATATGAATGATTTTGCTTGTACTTTCAGGGAAAGGAAGCTCATTCAATTAAACACAAAAATGGTATAGTTGTCATTGATAAACTTATTATTTTATTTCCAATATTATGTTACAAAAGGTGGATTTCATTTTTTGTGTAAAATTTAAGTGCGCCTGCAAATGAATACACGATCGCGACACATCTAGTAACACTCATTCAAATAGATCAATCGTCGTAAAATCACCTGAATATCGGGTGGGTTTAAAAATGGGACGGTCTTTGATGCCAAACATCTTCTGGAAAACTCTTAAGGAGATTTAGGACTCAGTTGATGGCAAAAGCATTTGTATGTACATATACCAAGAAGATTGAGAACCGATTGATTTCCCTTTCAAGTGATGTGAAACATGCGTTCTGACTCAAGTTTTGGTCCTCCCATGAATAAAAATCTTGAATGATAAAACTGAAATAGATTACGGATATATATATGAAATTGGTATATAAAAGGACATGTTGGATTTTGAGTGTGTACATTTTTAGAAGCAAAGGTAAAAGAGTTTCGTAGATATCGAGTGTCAAAGAACGGCCCATTTTTACGCCCATCCGATATATAATGACAAACCGAAGTACAAGTAGCAAATGCCACCTTCTGTAATTGTAATGGATTGGTTATTCCCCTTTTAGGAACTGGACCACCTCGACCAACGAGTCCTATAGTATCAACCGTCCATCCAGCCTCATCGACTGCGCCTACACCAGGTATGGTATGTTCATCATGTAGAATATTATTCATAAGTTATTTTGGATGCTGTTTTAAGTTATTACTTACCGATGAAACCTTAATTTGTGTTTGCTTTTCAAAACCATTTTATAGTTTACAGGTTTAATTGAAGGTCAAAGTGTTTTGAGGTGCAGACTTTTTATCCAGCAACCATCCCTACAATTATTTGCGTACTTATTTGAATACTTACACCCCAGTCACATTTCCTACGGCGACCTTGCGGTCTATCATTTCTGCGGCCAGTAACATTTCTACGCTCGCCGTGGAATTTCTGCGCTCTCATACTTTTGCAGTCACATTTCCCACGGCAGCCACACGGTGAATTTTAAATTTCTGTTGATAAATAATACTTTTTTTTCATTTTATTTACATCTTGACAATATATAAATGTTATTCATAGTGCTAGGGTGTAAAATCAAATGAAAAGTGATCGTGAAACATTAACAAATAATGATTCAATCTTGTTGAGCCAGTTGATGAACAAATATTATAACTCCGGGTTATAATTTCTACGGCGACCCTGCGGCCTGTAAAAAACTGGATACGCCGTACGGAGGCCGCAGGGCGAGCGTAGTTTTCCTACGCTCGCCGCAGAAATACACCGATTTAATCGATCTGCGGTCGACGCACGGCCTCCGTGCGACAAATGTGACTGGGGTGTTAATCTATTAAATACCTGGCCGAGAGCCCCTTCAATGAAAATTAGGTGAATATGTTATACCTCAAGTCTGTAAGGATTGCTTTATTTCAAATACTCTAGATGAGTGCCCGAAGTATATTGGGCGCTTCCCTACTGATTTACCACGAAGAGGGGGCACCTGGGCGCATATTATGATCAACAATTCATTCCCGTGTGACGGCAACATCACAGCTTGGCATTACTACCGATCAAACACGGAAACTGCGGCGTACGTAGCAGTATGGCGGCGTGACCCAGAACCTAATAAGTACATTTTAATAAAGCAATGGGAACTGGATCCAATAGAAAACGCCTTAGGAAATATCATACACGAAATAGACAAGAGCCCTGTTAAGAAAGGAGATTGTATTGGTATCCATTATTCTAGGTAGGCTAGCTCTAGTAACTTTTCGATCAGTTTGTTTGCAATATTAGACTATATATTGCACATGGCTAGTCAAGGGGGAGATAGTAGTATAGGTATTGAACACTCTCTGTAATAACAGTTTATTTTCTACCTCCAATAAGCTTCAAACTAGAGTTGCACATTTAAAAATCACTGTACGTGAACTTTGCAATCATGCTTAACTGAAAAATCCCATGATTTCCATTAATAGAACAACCAAGGTCCCTGCTATATCGAATTCTCGAGGGAATGATGGTCTAGTGGATATGGGAGAGTTGTTTGAAACAATCAATATTCCAAGGTTTAAAGAAGACTTCCATGAAGGAAACAAACTTGACTTTACTGGTATTGAACCAATTGCTACCACGTATGCCCTACAGGCTTGGTTTGAAGGTGACGTTTAATTTGTTTTAACACGTAGTATAATGAGGTAGCTAGGGTTGCCGGAGGGGAGTATTCATGTATATTATTTTCACTTTGAATGTTTTTTCTTAAAATGTGTTGCTCTGGTAACCGCTTAATAAAGGGAGTTTCGAAGTGATATATTGTTTAAAAATTAGTTACATCTTAATATGTTTTCATTCGTATATGTACCCTTCAGCCTGCTAAAACGAGGGGGGTTTAATCTTTAAAACAGTATCTTCTTCCGTTTCTTTCCCGCCTTATACTTTGCTACCATCAATACATTGTCTCAACAGTATGTATAATAGTCTAGTAGAAATGTCGGGGCACGGAAGCACCCAGGGAATCTAATTTGCGTTTTTTTAATTCACGGTCTTCTTCGAAATAATGGTGCTAACAATCTCATATCCCCTGGGTTATTTAGGGGTTGCGTATACGACCACGCCCCTCTTCCCAAAGGATCCATCCTTGGAGTATTTATCAATATATATGGCTTTCTAGTATAGAACAAAGAAATAAAACATATTTTAGCTTGATTTTTGAAAGATTGAACGTTTTAAGTTTTCTAAAAGGTTCAAAATAATAAAATAATAACAGTGTTCATTTACGTTCCCAGGCAAGCACCCAAGTAGAGTTCCCTTTTGAGGTTTTCTAAACATCCAAGTAATTTGTGTTATCTTTAATTTACAGGTGTACCATCCAATACCAAGAAACCGTTACAAACAGGTAGGTCATATGAAATATATATTCATTTTTGCAGTACCTCGAATTCATTTAATATGCCTCTTATTCAAAGCAAGATGTATGATCATTTTGAATAACTTGTTTTTACATTCCGTATTCTATACTTATAGGTAAACTTGGCGTTGGAGGTATAATTGGCATAGTCATAGCTATAGTCCTAGTGGTGGTATTAGTTGTTGCAATAGGACTCATCTACGTCGTGAGAGCAAAGGGGGTTAACCCTATCGATAATTTAAAAAGGAAAATTGCAAGAAAAACTAACGATAATGTTTTAAAGGATAGTTTCGATAATCCTGCATACAATCAGGCAACGAACGATTCTATGAGTTGATTTCAGTATGTGTCCATCTACTTACTGGTGAAATTATTAGAAAAACAGAAGTCAGATGGTTGTTACTATTCCAGCATAGTTAGCTTCACATAATGGAAGATAATACATTTGCCTAAATACAATCTGATCTGATATAAAATAACTGCCTGTCTGAAGTCGACTGCTGTAGACAGACCGTTTATAAATTTCAATTTTATATAGGTTAAGTATATACAGAAAAATATATAAAGGAATAAGGCCAAAGGCTCAATAGAGTGTGGACAAATTTAAGCAGAGAACCACTTTTTTGAATGACCGAGGGAGCCAGTATTAAATGTTGACATTCAAGATACATTCAAAATTCAAGTACATATGATCATCCAAAGTCCAGTGAGTCATGTGGCTAAATTGTTCTTACACATTGAAAGATCTTGTACAACATAAGTTTACTTCAACAAAAACCATGGTAAGTTTAAAATAAATGAAAGAAATATATGTATGGCTAGCGCCGTTATTTTTCGACTTTTGATATACTACGTTACGGTAGTAGTGCACAAAGAACATTAAAACTAAATAAAATTGCAAGATGACATTAATAAAATTCTTTCATATATGAATTGCATATGATGTCAAATCCTTTCTGTCGTTCTACAAAATCACCAGTTTCTAAATCCAGCGAGCACTGTCATTTTAGTTCTAGAATTGCAAAATGAAGATAGATTAAACATGTTTTAGTACTTGATAATGCTGTCCAGTCGATATTCTGTAAAGACAATTAAACTGCATTAGAGACAAAATTTGACAGATCAAAACTGAAGAAAAAGGTGCGTTTACCTATTATTGTTTACACGCCTTCTTGGTACACGCCACATTGCCATCCAAGCAAGAGCATGTATTGCAGCCGTCTGTAGCATCGAACCTTTCTCCTTCGGCACGGTAGATTTCGTCATAGAAACAATCTGAATTCGAGTATACATGTATATACAGTAAACTCTGTCTAAGTGGAACACATTGGGTACCTTTAAAAAGTGTTCCACATGGTAGGCGATCCACATTTATAGGTGCATTTAACATTAAGTCGGTTGGTCTTGAGACTCTGGAAAGTGTTACACTTATAGAGGTATTCCGCATCTAGAAGTGTTTCACTTAACAAGTTAAACTGCATATTCAATGTGTAAATAAGCATGTATTATAACCATGATTATAGCCATATAACCACCCTTTGATAACACTTATACGATGTTATAAGATACACAGGGGCTACTACAGGTATATCCTGTGAACATGAGTCTCATGCTTAAGCACCTCTTGTGTGTAAGGGTTTTGCATTCACATTACAAATAAAATGAAATTTCCACTCACGAGAACAATATATTCTAGTACACGAGACATTTCCATCAATACAACGACATGTGTTACATCCGTCACCACGAGGGAAGCTAGACCCAGGTTCGCGGTTCTTTTTATTGTGGACACAGCCTTCTCTTTCTCTTTGAGGTGGACATGCCATTAATGTACACACCGTGTTACCATTCTGTGTACAGGAGCATTTGTTACATCCGTCTGTGGAGTCGTACATGTATGCTTCTCCAACAGCATAATAAACGCCGTCATAAAAGCAGTCTGAATGAAAGCAAATATACATAAATGTACATAAACTAGAGTAACTTAAAAAAACTCCAAGTGATTTTCTTTAAAAGACAGGAATCAGTAGAACAACTGCAATATTTTGGTAACTACATAATATTGTGTGATATTGTATGTAAGTGGACTACATTTGCACATGACAAAGGGTGCTGGAAACCATGGACGGGGAATAGATGCATCAAAAGAATTTAAAAACATTCCAACAGTTGCATTGCCGGCTCTACGAGCTAAGTAGAACGTGCAAAGCTAACTCACGTTCACAATGTATTTTGGTACATGAGACAATTCCATCAGCACAATGGCAAGTGTTACATCCGTCACCACGAGGGAAGCTAGTCTTGTCCTTGTGGATTTTTTTTATTGTGGATACACTCATTCTTCAGGTTTTCTACAGAATTAAAGTAAAATTGAAGTAAAGTACAATGTCGCGATCGGAAATATATACAATATGTATCATATTTAAATGCAGTAGACAGCGTGCAACTATATATCGCAGGTTGGGCCAAAGAACTTCTACATAAACATGAACCAATCTGCAATAATCATCCTATTCTCGAGTTATTGTGTTTTAGTATTTGCGTGCGTTCGACTGTGGTTGTACTTGTTGGTTTGTGTATTGCTTGCTTTGTTTTCATTGTTTTGTTGGATTGATTATTTCAGTGAAACTATAGTTTACTTCTTTGGCATGCCAACTGCAATGTAAGAAAATACGAATAGCCTTAAAAGGCAAGAAGGTAAGCTGATGAAACATCAGGGGTGACCAAATATTTACTTTGCACCGTCCTCATAATCCCTCTGTGGAGACAGAGTTTTGTTGTGTGCCGTATGCACAAGAAGTGTAAATTTTGATCCAGTGGTCTTATACGATCGTTATCACAAATTCGCTTAATTCCGCCATTGAAAATTGAAATATTCAAGTCACGCATCAAGTCTCTAGATTTACATTCTCGCGACCTCGACTCTCATCCAATACCAAGGTACAGGTATATGTGTTTATGACCTAAGGTCACAAGGACAACGAGATGTCATCGACAAATTTGGATTTGTGATGAAGCAGGTCGTCTTCATAAGAAATTTCAATATTTTCACATATTTTTTAACTGAAAAGCTGCTTATTGCGCAGAGAAAATGAACCAGAACATACAATGTCGATCTACGAAAGTCTATTACGATCAAATACGAAGTTACTGAAAAAGACGCGAACGTTTTTCAATCAGAATGATCGTTTTTCAATGATAACTTTTTAACTTATTTTAATGGGCTTTTAACTATTTTCCTTGATAATCCACACATTAAAATATTTTTTACTTCAAACAGGTACATCTTCCTTTAAATATAATAAAAAATAAGCACGAGCAAAGTGACGGAGCAAGCAATGCGGCGGATGACATCCTGTGAGGACTTATTGCAAGAAAAATGTTTCAGCAGACTCAGAATTATTATCTAAAATAACAGGAAGGTATGAGATCAAAGCACTCCCCACAAAATGATTTTGTTAACGGTGCTGAGGAAAGGGAGACTCTGGGGAAAGAAGAACTGTGTGCACTAGCGAAAGAGATGGAGAAGCTGGACTTCAAGAGCAAGCTATGATGGTGGAGACCAGCCCCTTCGAAAAATCCTATGATTTATTAATTTAAGATATGCCCCTGTATAATATTTTATAGTCTATTATACAGACACAGATCGCAGAGAGGCAAAGTCAATTCCTCTATGTAAAAAATAAGTATAGAAGTAAATACTTACTCTTTCCTTTTCTTGCATCCAAGCACTTCAGAAGTGTTGCCAGTAACACAATTTTCACGAGTGGCGTCATAATCTTGGTTGAGCAACTGTCTCGCAGAGTTAATCAAAAACCGCTCATTGGCAATATTTATAGGCATGGGACTGGTGATCAAAAATAAAGTAATACGTAAACACGTGATTTGTGGCATGTCATATCATGTAGAGTGTTTCAAAAATATCAGAGCCGTGTCACAATTTCTCTATTGGACCAGTCATCTGAATTAAAAGTGTATTTCTATATTTGGTCACAATGTTAACTGAATGTATGTGTGTAATTGAAAAATTAATTTTATTTTCTGTTAAGATATGTTTTCAGAAATGAGAGCATCGGTCCTCTTACTTTTAGAACAACATGTACACGTAGACGTAATCCCACGAGAGCTCGCATATGCAGATTAAAATCATAATTTCATAACAATAACATTTTATCATGATCAGATAAATGTTTATTAAAATATTGTGTAATTTGTTCATTGCATCCAGTGATGGCAAGAACAAAGGTGACTGATTTTACTATATTATTATTTTCGACGTAATTGATGTGTAGGCATTATAAAACAAAAAAGTTATCCTTTCACGCTTTTCTTCACTTCTCATGTATTACTGTAAAAATACATGCCAGTATTAGAATGGATGATTATAAAAAGGGTTTACCGGGAAAGTTTTGGATGAAAATGTAATATGTACCGTTAAATGCAATTAATTAGTTAAAGCCTCGATAAGACGGGTGCGGAAAAGTATGGAATATGGGACGTTCGAGATCACACACCCAACGCGTTTTAACTTCATTTTTCAAAAAGTATGCGAGAAAATATAAAATAAGGAAATAGAGAGACATAGTTGATGGGGCTGCATAGCTGTGGCATCGTATAACCTCTCCTGAATCAACCAATCTACTAACAGACAAACCAAGACAAATAATTTTTAAATGATGAAGTAATTTTCCATTGTTTCATGGTGAAGTCAATGTGAGTATTGGCATGAGGCCAAAAAAAGATTCCATGACCCAGACAGCAGAAATGTTAAATGTTTAATATAATGCAAAACCCGTTGCAAAAAGTTGTGCTAACTTAGAGTAAGCAGTACGCATCTGGGTTATTGCAAAATCAACCTATTTGAATTGAAAATCGTGTACGTGATCGAATTTACAAAGTTCGTCACCACATTCTTCAAAATACTATGTAGAACGTTGCATTGCACTACTCCCCAACAGTTTGACAGTACCATATATCCCCAATATTTCAAGTTTATTCCAAAGGTTTTGGTGATTTGAAGAATCTGGACAACAATTGACTTTTTATATTTATTAGATTTATAAATGTAGAAACTTTTGAGATGTTGATAAAAACCATGAATATTGTAAGTCCAAACATTCTAAATTGAAAATCTGAACTTTTTTGGGGAGAGAGTTGCTCGAAATCTCTGACTTTTCCTTTATTAGACAAAATAAACATTGTTATCAATAATAAATCACTTGTATTATGAAAGATCAAACAATCGGTCACAGTTTTTTTGCGGAGAATCCGAGCCCCGGGCTGCAGCCTGTAGACATACCTGAATGTTGTTCCAGGTACCAACTGTTCTTCTCCCCTAAATCATTACTGAGACTGAAAGTTTATTAACCGGAATATGTTATTTACAAAGAGCTATAAAATTCTACTAATAATTTCATAACTTTATATTTTTATTAATAAAAGTGCATCTGGCACGAAACTGAGGCCCGGGATATCTGTCATAAATCGTCTTGAATGAAACGGTTTAACTTTGTTGTATTAATGTAAACAAATCCTGCTAAACTTGTAATTTTAGTTGTAATGTAACAAGACTAATATTAAAGGCCCACTTTGCGAATTTTCAACGTTTTTGGGCAAAAATAAAGACTTACATTTGAATTTCATAGTTTGTCCAATGTATTGATAAGTACCTTATCTTTCATTTGACACAAACAACAGCTAAAACGGACCACAACCTAGCTTACGATGAATTTTCAAAAAACAATTTTGGTCTGTCAAGCTTTATATATCAAGTTTTTATCGATGTCATTAAAAGATGGCGAAGTTGTTTGTATTATTTGATACTTTCATTTTAATTTGTAGAAGTGTCGCCATCTTTTAAATCAAAAGTTTCTTAAAACATGCATTTTGTTCATCATGTGCATGCATGTCTAATGATCTCTGAACTTCAAATGCTTTTTCTATGTGAGTTAATTTTTCTCGGTTCAATAGTAAAGCAAATCAAACGTTGTCTCATATTTGAGTGAGTGTGTGAGAAACATGTTTCAGTGATTGTTTTTTTATTTGTTCTTCTAAATTAAGTTTAGTCCGCCTTTAATTCTAAAATGAACTTTAAATAAGCACTGTCAGTTAGTGAGGAATATTAATTTTAATAAAGTGCTATTTGATTGATTCGATGTATAAACCAACTGTCAGATGATATATGCATGATACGACGTCAGATACTGTACATCACGGCGTAACAGTGTAATTGTTCATTTTACCGACAAAATGCAAAGATTTACGCGATAAATATGCGCAATGCTCCTCCAAGTAATTGCAAACGTTTTAATATTCGTGGAATCTTCTTAAAAACTTCAAGTTTTGTTCAGATTAATGTGCGCTTCAATACAATTCTATATTCAAAAAGGTTGTGTCACGATATACAGAAGTAGAATCACCAGAAAGTAGACATTTCAAACCCTACCCGTTTTCTTCTTTGTCGCGCTTTTCGGCCCTGCGCTCTCGTTGTCGCACCGTCTTTCTAGACTCTTTCACAATGCCCCTTGTCATATTCAACTGATAAACACAGACGGGAAGATATTAAGGATTGTTAAATGCATTATTTGTAATTTATTTTAACTCGAATATTTAGTTTTATTTATTTAAAGCAATGAATAATAAAGGAGAACATATAATACGCTAACGGCGTAACGTCTTTTTTTGTAAAGGCTTTACTTGGTGTTGCGGTGATAAAACGATGTCTATCTCAATATATACTCGTTCAAATTAAATGAAATTAATTGTATGTAGTAAGGGGTATATTTAAAAGAACATGCTGAAACATTGGAAAGTTTTGAATGTTTATCCCTTAATTAGAAATATTTGAACTCAAAAAATGAAACGTAATTTTGTGAATTTTTCACATGGCTTCACTTCATATTTCTTTCAATTTATACTTCTTACAGACTGAATTTTAATCGGAATGATATAGTTTTTTGATAAAAATATAGAATATGATATGCCTTTCGGGAATCAAAAAAGAATAATTCACCTTTCAAACGATTTAATGTTTAATTGATCAAAATATATATCTTGTTGGTACGAAATTCTGCCTGTCGACACTTTTTTGCATAAATATAAGCGTTAAGTTACCATTGTTATATTATGACGTCATCACAAAGAATCTGTTTGTCTTTTCCAAAATGGTGAATTTAAATATTGTGAAAATTTGAGTAAGATCCGTTGGGAAATGAAAAAGTTATCTTCATTTTTCGTTTAAAATTAAAATCACTTTTCTTCAAAATGTTACAGTCGACACCCGGTTTTAGCATAGAAAGTCGCATAATACGGCTTGCGTGATTCTCATTTAAAAAGTCCCAAATCAGTTATTTGGAATTCTGATAGGCAAAATATTTCATGGACATACGTGTTCAACTGATGACGAAAAATTGTAGAAAAATATGATTTTGCTGTTGAGATATTGCGGTTTTAAAAGTAAGTACGCATTAAAAATGCAGTAAAATGCCGCGATGTACAGTATCTGACGTCGTATCGCATAGACTCCGTGTCAAAGGTGTTACTTGTTGTTTTATTTCAAAGAGTTATTCTCTGAAAAATACATTCTTCCATTTGAAAAAATGTCCATCCCAAGACTGTCAAAATACGCGTACAGACTATGAGTACTATCAAAATACTATCAAAATAAATCATATAATCATGGAAGTTATTACATCCATGGGGATATTACTATTGTTGATATTCAAAACAAAAAAGTGAAATATCTTACTTGGAAATTAATAGTACAATTACATCATTTCGAAGTACAATATAGTGAAATATTGGACCGAGGGCCGAGGTCCAATATTTAACTATATCGCCCGCAGAAATGACGTTAGTAGTATTATTACCACCGTTAATGACCAGGACTGAAACAGCAAGTAAATCGTACGCATTGAACGATATCTATTTTCCCGGGGGAAATTGCCGGTCATGAATTGCATCCTTGAGTCCTTGACCGGCAATATTGACCACCACTATGTGTCACATATTGGTCAGGTCCTAGATATAGTAAAACGAATGCCTTCTAAACTAGCACTAAAACCCCTAGAACTGGCCCGAGAAGGTGGTAATAATAATTATTGATGCTAAAAACAGAAACAGATTTCGTTTCCCAAGCAAGGGAAGTGATTTGGAAATATCGATATATTTCTAAGATGTAATCATATTTCAAAACCGGAAACTACGTGCTACATACCTTTGATATGGGCCAACAATAAAATTGGAATTTGGTGATAAAGGCGAAATGATTAAGGAAAAAATATTCTCATTAAATTCTTGTACCGTTTCCAGTTGATCCCCAGTGCATTTTTTTGTTGATCACTTCATTACGAGGAACGGAGACGGCTGTTGGAACATTACTTAAAAGCTCTGTATAAACTTAAACCACTTTGGCATGTATATTATATTAATGTTGTCATAGTGTGCTACGTGAAACGCAATCTAATTTTAGTTAAAAAGGTTGATTTTGAAGAAGGATTTATTTCAAATGAAATTTCAACACCACATATTGAATCATTTATAAACATATATTTTTCCAAAGGATATAGTTGAAAAATGTGCAAACTATTTGAACTGTATTCTATAATAATATTTTACACAAATGCGTAACAGTCATCCTATCTTATTTTTGTTAAAAAAATAAGAAAATTAGCTGGAAAATAGGCGAGTAATTAAGTCGCAGAAATGTGGTTCAGAGAAAAAAGCATTCTAAAGTTTTAATTCTGGTGGTGGTACATCATAAAATTTATTTTCAACCTGGATGGGCAAAAAAATATTGCTTTATTTTGAAAGTTTGGCAAACCGTTTTTAGAAAATAATTATATGAGAAAAAATTATCACCTAGGATTGAGAATTATTTGAGTTATATGACATTTGACTCATCTACTGGATTTCATTGGAGGAGAGAAAATAATGTGTTTTGCAGTATTAAGTGTTGTATTTGATAATCTAAAATCTAAGATTTTATTTCTAAAATGGCAGGAAATTCAGATATTTGAAAATCATCTTGATGAACAACTTTTTTTCAAAGGTCAAAATTTTCAAAGAATGTCTCAAATGATTATGCAAGTGTTTGTTTAAGCATTTTTTTAAGTCACGCCTTTTCAAATCATACATGTTCACTGGTTCTATTTGAACCAAATCAGACATATATGTCATGGGAACTATGGAATATGACAATTTGTTCATATATCATGCATGGGCTCCACAGTTCAAAAATATCACCGCTTAATTAAGGGAAGTTAACTGGAAACGTAAGATACGGTAACGGTCATTTTAGTTTTCAATACACGGTAACGAGACATCTTAGGTCTCCATTATAAACTCTCATAACGTTATCGCATCACCGCAAATCAGTTATCTTATCATCTGTAAAACCAAACTCCCAGTTACTTAAGCAGTGGAGGATATCCTTGAACTGTGGCACCTACGCATGGTATATGAACAAATGATCATACCCAAGGTATTCCAAGTCGGGCTCAGTTCAAATATCAATTGAAGGCATTACGTCAACTATAAAGTAGTTTAATTCGATGAAAACTATCGAAATCAACACTTCCCGTCCGCCATCTTTGATGTGAAGGTGACGGCCGTTACCTTCGCTTGATACTGACCAGTGATGTTCACTAATTACTGATGTTGATCTCGTATATATTCCACAATAAACAACAGGTATTCCTACAATAAATACAAAATATATTTTATATCTCCACGGACTCATCTGTCCTATTAAATAGAACGTGTTTTAAGGCATATCCAAAAGGGAAACAGAAATGTGGTTAGCAAACAGCACAGCCGCACGCTGTTATCTTCCTAAAAGTTCGAGTTCGACCACTACAATTTATACGTATATCCTTAAATTGGACACCCGTGCAGCAGCGATATGTCCCACTATCAGTGTCGACTGCTTTCCGAGGACACTCTTGAAAATTGCAAGTTCCTATGTCAATTTGGTGTATACGCTCCTTGGTGGCTTCATCTACGCACCCCTCGCCTAGGTCAGCGGCTAACACCATAGGCGTCACTCCGCAAGATGGCCTATTGCTGGGCATCAGTAATTCTGAAAGCAACGTTAACATAATTATTTAAAAGCGCTTTATCAAGTCTCAATTCGTTCATGCAAAAAATGTCTGGCGTTTGTCTCACAGAATGTAGAGGAAATATGTGTGTTTTGGGACAAGCAAAAATCTTAAATGTATAGCTTCTGATAAAAATGACATATAGATTCATCGAAAACGCAGTACTAAAATTTTAACATGTGCCATTCCATATAGTTATCTCATTCGGAATTATATAAATTGCTGCAATTATTAATATTTACATGATAGTAATCCACAACAAAATAAACTGCCCTCGTGTGAATATGATAAAAAGTTCTAATAAAAAAAACTGTACCTCAAATTGTAACTGACTTCAAAATTTTTGATACCTGTTGATAAAATAGCAAGCTCAAGCACGGAAATTAGACTTGTAACCCAGTGAAACAATGGAACAATGAAAGGTACCATTCATGATATACTCGGCTTTCAAACGTAATTTTTATTCGTAATTTTGAAAGCCGGATCAATTTTCCTGTAAGTTGAAGATTGGAAATAAGATAAATCAGTGAGAAACTCATCTAATGCCTTGGTCGCATTTGCTCCGATGTTCACTACGGCGTCCGGCCGATTGAGTATTTTGTTCAAAATTGAATACAATATTGGACAAAACACTCAATCGGCCGGGCGCCGGCCGATGGATCGGAGCATATGTGACCAAGGCATATATATATCTTAACGAACTTATTTTTTATTTATATATTTTATATATTTGTTCATTTTATAAAATGACTTATATATCCGACGCGATCATTATGAGTTTCTTCGTGACATTTTGAAACAAGGCATTAAAATACAAATGTCACCACCTGTCGTTTGTTACAAACATCGAATGTCGAACACCAGCCGATGCTGACCGCCGTCCACAAAAAAGTTGGAGACTATATGTGTATTCGCGAATGCAACTTTCAGCTGTCGGGTATCGGATTTACCTACTAGTTTATGACCCAACTCAGTTAAATATGAATGGAACAATTGCAGGTACTGTCCATATTTAAATGAGTTGCCCATAAATAGTAGGTTAAGCCGGTAGCCGACAGCCGTTAGTTGCGTTCACGAATGCAAGCTATAACAATTTGTTACCACTACTGGTAGTGACGTAAAAATGGATTTTCACTCACCATACAAGTTTCTAGGCGAAAGCCCAACATCTCCCGATGTATACTGGGCAAGACATCCTAGCACGATGAACCACGCTAGCACGTGGTGTACTTTGCGCATTGTGATGACGTTGCTTAAATCGAATAGCCTTTTAATATGTGCTGTTACTCATCTATGGAAACCAAGGAGCCATTCCAGGAATGATTAACTCTTCCTATCTGTTCCCTCTGCCAGCATCTAATGAAAATATTAATGACGAAGCCCTGGTCGGTGAAGGTAATCGGTTACTGAAGACACTTTACTTCTGATAATAAATCACTTCATATAACCCCCAGATCAGTAGGTCGGTGGATTCAGAAAAATTGTACTTTTTTCTTAACAAAATTAGACATGAATCTTTGACAAAATAAGACTGGTGTATTTCAAAAATAGGTTGCGGTCATGTTATCCGAGTATTTTTCGACACTAATCATATTTCGTGATTTTAGGATTCCGAAATGTCGCTGATTTTAGTCTCCTGATTCAATATGCAAGACACCATAAAATGTAACTTTCAAAATATAGATTGCTAGTTTGAGTTGTATGGTTAACAAAAATACAAGTCAGATTGCACTGATTGCAATTATTTCGTTGCTTATGCATGCATCAAACGGGCTCGTGCCGCTTCACTTCCCAATTTCATCTGAAAATGTGATGTGGGAAAACGAGGGAGCCCGGGGGTTAACGTACATACTCCCATTAAGTTTAAATGACATACATATTTGACATACACAACGAGAAAATAATCATGAATATATTCGTCTAGTTATTTTCACGCATGCTCTATTGTTTGACGATCCGCGAGGTGTTGGATTGTTGTCTTGTAAAGTATCACAACTTTCTAGATTCGTACCTGATCTGATCAGGCGAGTAATAATCCAATATATTCACTAAGTAGTTGATCTTCACATTGATTCAAGATAAATCCACTCCACTGCTATCTATTAGTGTCGTCTAATTACCAACCGTGCTAGTCGTGAGCCTCTCTGCTATCTCCTAGTCTCTAATAAAACTTAATAGTAGCACTTGTAAAGATAAGTGTATCAGTGTGTAAAATATATAATATGGTTCTTCGGAGATTAAGGCCCTAACACAATCATGGTTCAGAGAAAGAAATGTATTGAAAAGGGAGAGGGAAAAGGGGGGAAAAGGGGGCATGAAAAGGACAAGTAGGTCACATTGATAATTATAAACGACCGTATTAATAAAAAAATTGTCCTCGGAGGATTATGGTTGCCCTTATACAAAAATATCATTCATTTAGTATTAGCTATCTATTGAGAATTATAGATATTATTTGTAATTAATGTATTTGTAAGATAGGGGGCACCTGTATATGTGTGTTGTTATTCATCTACGAAAGGGACATCGTCGGTTCCCACGCTCAGTCACTACGTTCTAATTGGACAGGTCCGAACCTTGATGAAGCAAGATGCGGAAGTGACGACAAAGGTTACTGATCACTGGGGATTCTGGTTTTCCTTATCAAAGACCCTTAATAGTTCCGATTTGGTACATAATTTTGTGGAACGAAAGGGGTTGATGGTAAACAACCAAGGAGGATCCCACTATATGTCTTGAACTTTCCAAACAATAAAAAAGTAACTCAGATTGGGGTTCTTACGTCTGATAGAATATAAACTAGTATCTTATACTTGAGTGGGTTTGAGGTGGATATCACTCGGGAATATATATCATATTTGAATAGCGGGCAGGATATATTGTATATCCCCCGCTCCAGGCCAAATGCGGGGAGATATAATATATCCAAACCCGCTCAAAATTTTTTCAACTTTTTTTCTTCAAATATTTTGCAATGTAATATAACTTTTTATTTATATGAACATGCTCTAACAAAATCATTAACATTTTATATTTAATAGTAATTAATAGACTGAAAGTATAGACGTAGCCAGGAGGGGTGCGCACACACCCTCCCCCAATTTTGAATGAAGTTGCATCATTATTTGTCAAAATATATCTTTTTTGGCTCGTTAATGCCACGATCAGCACCCCCTGACTGAAAACCTGATTTTTGGGGCAATCACATACCTCCTGACTGAAAGCTGGCTATGTCCCTGGAAAGCAATGGTCATGTTCCAGTTTTCCAAATAATCACGAGAGTCAACCTCATAGGGATTACAACAAAAACAAAAACGTATTAGCAAGATTAATAAAATTACCCATATTTTAATCCTTTTAGTACCATGTTGACATTTTGGAGATAAACTCATTATTAATTATAATCTAAAAAGGCAGTGGTCTAAGAATGAAAATCACAAACTGAATCATCAGAATTATTTTTATGAAATAAACATTCTTATAAGTTTATCAATATATAGAAATATAGGGGTTGAGTTTTACTGGGGTTGAGTTTTACAGGGTTGAGTTGACTTGGGGTTGAGTTTTACTGGGGTTGAGTTGACTTGGGGTTGAATTGACTTGGGGTTGAGTTTTACTGGGTTGAGTTGACTTGGGGTTGAGATGACCAGGAAGCAACTGTTAGACCAATACTCTTCTGATTGCGATTCTGTTAAACTGTTTTTACAAACTCTTCTTATTGATTGCACATTGATTTTCTGTACAGGAATACAATTAAAATATATTTTGCTTTCTCTGTTTTTTAATGCCTAAACCTTAACTCTATCTAACTTGTTAAAAACTCCTTTGACTAAATTCTATTGAAGAAAAGTCTGGCCATTAAAACCTACTTTTTGCCCAATTTGATCATATTTTAATAGTTCGTTGACTACATTACATACATAATTTATTTTATATACACCTTTTTGATGCCAGTTATCAAAATATTCCATTGTCGTTATTATGCGAACGTTACAAAATTAACCAATATGCGAACGGCGATTATGAAGTAGTGGACCATAGCGGGCAGATTATATACTATATCTATAAACTTATATTTTCATAAGCGGGCAGATATAGAGGATATCCTATGATTTATGAGTGATATGATTTTTATCCACGAATGGATATGATATCTGCACGAGCGAGCGTAGCGAGAGAGTGTAGATATCAATATCCATTCGTGGATTAAAATGTAACGTTCGCAGACAATCGCAATCTTTTTGATGCTTCGAGGAAGGGAAGGAGCTATATGCCCTGTCAATAATCAAAAGTTTAAAGAACAGGAAAATCAGGCCACGCCAAGGAGAACAAAACTGGACATGAATATTAAAAAATAATTCCACGAAGTTGCAAGGTTTCTTAAATGTGGCCAATTGAACAATGTGAACCAAATGACCAAGACTGATATGGGATAAACAGATCATCCTATAGTCGGTTCAGGATATTGGGATTATCCCTTGGCCAATATGATATATCTACCCTCGGAACCTACGGCCCTCGGGCAGATATATTATATTGGCCTCGGGATAATCCCAATATCCTGAACCTCATATAGGATAATCTCTATATATCCCTCAGGATATACCCTATATCCAAAACCTCCCAGTACATAACCCTTATATAAACCAATTACCATGTTTTTTATGAGAAAAATGAAAAATCATTCATTATTTTCATTTAAAGTACGGAATATGATTTAAAGAATTAATAATGAAAATACGATATTTTCTTACAAACTAAGGAAGCAATCAATTTTCATTGGATTCTATGTCTTCTGTGGAAATAAAAATTGTCAGGTGACTAGGGTATGATCTGACATTGAACGAAATGCTTATATTATTGTTGACACTATCGTATTGGCCTTGCTGATAAATCAGTTATAGTCTACCACCACACAAGGCTGAATACAATTACAAACAACACGTGTAAGGTAACCTATTTTCATACCAATTGGTTTGAAGTGCTTACATAGAACATTGGTCTTTAAGACATTTAAGATTATTAAAACACGTTTTTCAGATAAGTTCACGTATGTGGACTCTTCAATTGAGAATATTAATCAAATTATATTCAGTGATCTGGCATTTATGATTGTCAGAATTCTCTTTAAGTTATTGATTTGATAAGATCACCTTCCGGGGGGTATAGTGACATCTCTCATAAAAAAATGAATCACTGACTACAGGCATGACTATAGAAGCTAGTGTTTCACTGGTGATTTCTCAAGTTTAGTATCTCTAGTTTACCACTAAATGGATCACTGGTGTTTCTTGTATTAATTACATTTACTATAAGTATTCATCTGAGTCTCAAACACCCTATGCAGACAGAGCCTGTGGGAAATATTGGGTGCGGAGCAAATGAGCGGAGGGTGCGGAGCTAACGGTTATTTTTTAATTTAAATTTGGGATATTTCTGAAACTAAGCCGTTTTGGGACTTCAAATATACCAAGATATGTGTATTTGACACCAAATATCAATACAATTGTGAAAATAGTAGCGCAATTCATTCTATAGCGACGCAGTGTGCCTTAAACCTTTCCCAGACCTATATATTTTGAAATTATCCTTTTAATACTGAGTCCCCAGCATTCATAAAAAAAGGTGTTCAAGGTGCACTATCTATACAAATTATTTTTGCATCTTGGAAGCCAGGCAGTATCTGTGTGATTTTATAAAAATTCGGAAATTTTTTCAGATATGAGCCCCCTCTAAATATTGGGTGCGGAGCAGCTCCATAAACGTAGCTCCGCACCCAATATTTAGAGGGGCTCATATCTGAAGAACATTTCCGAATTTTTATAAAATCACACAGATACTGCCTGGCTTCCAAGATGCAAAAATAATTTGCATGGGTAGTGTATCTTGAACACCATTTTTTATGAATGCTGGGGACGCAGTATTAAAAGGATAGTCTCAAAATATATAGGTCTGGGAAATGTTTAAGGCATACTGCGTCGCTATAAAATGAATTGCACTACTATTTTCACAATTTTATTGATATTTGGTGTCAAATACACATATCTTGGTATATTTGAAGTCCCAAAACGGCTTAGTTTCAGAAATATCCCAATTTTAAATTCAAAAATGACCGTTAGCTCCGCACCCTCCGCTCATTTGCGCCGCACCCAATATTTCCCACAGGCTCTGTCTGCATAGGGTGCTCAAAGGACATTGAAAAACCAAACTCTATAATATTTAGGCTGAAACAAGCACTATACCACCATAAAGATCTTCATTATCACAATTAATCTCGGATCTTTTTTACTTGATGCTGCGTCAGTTTTTCTTCATTTTACGTATTTGTCTTAAAAGATGAATCTATTTTGTCTGAAAATATAAAAATATACTGAATACCTTTCCACGTGTGTTTTTCTGACAGACTCAACAATATGTGAACTTAGTACTATAATTTGAGGCATAACTAGTATCAGTTAAAAATTGTTGCTTTGATTACCATCCTGCCTAGTGTCGGTTAGTCTTTCGCATTCAGAAATCTCTGATGTTTCATTTACTCCATCTTAGTAAAAATGTACATTTTTTATTTCATCTTAATATTTTATTGAAATCCGTTCACAAAAACGTTCATATCGAAATAAAATAATGGAGTTTTTGGCCAACCCTGTATAAAAGTGAAAAGTGAAATTATTTGCTTGATGACATCATTCTCTTATTTGTTGAATTCAATTTATGTTCCGATGGGTTTACCCAAATTACGAAAAAAAATTATCTGTCTGTCATATCATTTCCTTTTTATATAGTGATTGTTTGCCTGGTGACGTCGTTCTCTTATAGGTCTACCCAAATAATTTTTATTTCCCATATCTAATAGGTTCTCCTCTTTATAGACTGGTTTCAATTCATCAACTACAATACCCATGGCACCACTTGTTATCATAGGAAACAATGCGTTTGCTTTCCTGTAGCCGCAGAGTCGGATGCTAAAAATGTTTTGTATCCAAACTGAAAAGTTGAAATTGAAATATAACACTTTTTGCATAATACACTACTGCTCTGAAACATATTAACATATTACATTGCTGGACCAGTTGTTTTACTTCCCTTTCATTTAATTATTCCATTGTTTTATCCGTTATTTTTGGACAATTAAGTCGAAATGTAATTATAGCGTTTGTTATAATAGTCTAATTGCGTTTCGTTAAAAATTGATAACACCCGCTAGGCGAGGATTGGCTTGTCGTTTCCTTTTTTGAAAGTCAGGCAATATTAATTAATGAATTAATTAATTAAAATTCAGCACTTAATTATATATTTCAAGTAACGTATTCACAACTTACTTGGCGATAATTGGACTTGCATCGATATGAAATTGGGACTTGTGATTTTCGGCATCTTGTCTGTCCTTTCACAGGGTAAGTTTAATTGCAATGTTTTTGTAATGAAATGTGTGAAGTATTTTTAATTTATGTCTGTGAGATTGAATCCCATTCCATAATTTCATAAGTAAAAGGATAATTTAAAGATCTTCAAAGTAGGTTGCATACATTTATAGTTTCTAATATAATGGCGGAATTAATCATTCGATTGATTTTCAATTTAAATTATATTTAAAGTGAAACCAGTAGATCTGAAATCGGAAAGGTTAATTAAAATTTAAAATAATGTCCCATTTTTTCTTTGATGATGCATTGGGTCTTACTCATCAAAAGTCTACTCATTATTTAGTCAACCAAAGTACAGATTCTACGACGAAGAAGTTTGAAGTTTTTTATCTCTAGTCTAGTGCCCTGTCTCTTGAAAGTCCATGAGGGAACCAAATGTGGATTGTCGAAATTATGACATCAAGGCCAGGGCACTTTTGTGAAAAAGTATACTTTCGATGCAATGGCAAAATTCAGATTGAATTCTCAAGAAGGTTCAAAAACATGCTAAAATCAAAACAAGACCATCTGTTGCCAGAATATTATGATCATTTTTGGAGGAGTCGACCGATAGGTCTTGTTAGAACTAAGAATATTTACAAGGTTCATAACTACATAGGTGGTCTATCACACAACAGAAAATAACCGATAAATCTAGGTATTACATGCATTCTGAGTAAGATTTGTTCTGATAGCTCGTTTGTTTTATGGGTTAAGGGTTCCCACTTGACGTATAGAACAACGCTTTTTATTATGAAATACGACAGCTCGATCAACATACTATTCTTCAAATCTGCCTATGAACACATATTCTATATTTGTTTTCAGGCCAGGCACATTATCCCCACCACCACTATCATCATCATCACCATCATGGACACACTCATCACCACGCTCCTGCTCCAGTTGTGCACCACCATGCTCCAGCCCCAGCACCTGTTGTCCATACCCATGCTCCCGTTACATCACCAGCACCAACCACTACTGTTGCTGCTCCAATCCCCAGCACCCAATGTTACGACTGCAACTACAAGCCTGGTACGAATGTAGGTTTCCCAGCCTGCGCACTCTCAACCGCTGCAGAGATCGCTCTCGTGGCCAAGACACCATGCGCTTCCAACAGATGCTTCGTCAGACAAGACTCAAACGGAAGTAAGTGTTGGCCATTACGACTGTGTTATAATTCAAATTTTAAAAAATCGTTAAATATTCATAAACTCCTTTCTACATGTATTAGTACTGCTGTAGTCCGTCTGAATCCATTCAAGAATTTGGATATCCCATTTATTTTGAAAAAGAGCGAACGTATTCTTGAGACCAACTCAAGGACTTTGAACAATCACGTATGCAGACGAATGTACCATGCGGACTTGCTGGTTCAGGTATTAATCAAGGACATTTTGAAGCAGATGAATATATGAACTTAACCTAGTTTGGAAGACATTACACTGCGTAGTTAGGCTACATATTCCTAAAAATGTTTCCTTTTCAGTTATCTATCGTGGATGTGGCGACGACTCTCATCTTCCATTTGGAGCTGACACAACTAAACAGTGCGCCCTTCAGGCACAGTCAACTTGGTACTTCTGCATGGGTTCCCTATGTAACTCCCCAACCTTTGCCGCCGTATGTCCCCTTGCTACCCTCCCAACAACCACAACAACCACCGCTGCACCTACAACCACAACAACTACAGCTGCACCCACAACCACCACCACCACATCTGCGCCTACAACCACAACAACTACAGCTGCACCCACAACCACCACCACCACAGCTGCGCCTACAACTACAACAACTACAGCTGCACCCACAACCACCACCACCACAGCTGCGCCTACAACCACAACAACTACAGCTGCACCAACCACCACAACAACCGCTGCTCCAACCACAACAACCACCACCGCTGCCCCAACACGCTGTTTCGATTGCAACTACAAACCAGGAACTAATGTTGGGTTCCCAGCCTGTAACCTGACTAACTCCATCGAAACTGGACTTGTTGCTGTAACAACGTGCTCATCTGCAAGATGTTTCGTCAGACGAGACCCTAACGGAAGTAAGAACATTTTTTACAAACATAGTTTCACCAATATAAATATGTGATTACTTCGATTTTTATAACATGATGATTAACAACGTAAATGTTTTTATTTCAAGATTTGCATATACAAAATCGTGCATAATTTGTTAATAAAACACACATGTATAATCGCTAGTTAAAGCTCCTATAACGTATTGCAGTTGTCTACCGTGGATGCGCCAACCCCTCTCATCTTCCATTCGGAGCGGACTCCACTCTTCAATGCGCCACTCAAGCTGGCTCCATCTGGGCATTCTGCGACGGTGACCTCTGTAACACGAACCAGTTCACCGTCAGTTGCCCCAGCGCACCAGCAACCGTTGCCCATGTACCAGTCACTTCTGCACCAGCAACTGCTGCACCATCAACCGCTGCACCATCAACCCATGCACCAGCAACAGCTGCACCATCAACCCACGCACCAGTGACACACTATGTACATGCCCACCATCCACCTGCCCCAGTCCATCATCACGTCCCCGCTCCGGTGTATTACTATCCATACTATTACCATCAGCATCACTACGCACACGCCCCTCACTATCCACACGCCCCTGTTTACCCATACGCCCATCATCACGCACATCCCCATGCGCACGCACCTGCTCCCGCAGCCACACATACCCACGCAACAGCACCAACACACGCACCGGCCCCAACACATGCACCGGCACCAACACACGCACCGGCAACAGCATCTAATGGCATCGTTCACGTCCCTGGTGGCATCCAGTACCCTAACTTTGCTAACTACGTGGCAGCCCCGGCACACCCTTTTAAATAAATGGCGTAAATCGCAAAGGGAAAATAAATCTTTATGGTAGAACCCAGGACATTATTGACTTTAAATAATAAACCCAGTGAATTCGATTGGAGAACTCTTAAAGGTGCCCTTTTCAACTTTCTGCTCAGGGTCCTTTGCCAAATAAGTTGTTTTACAATTGAATTAACTGGTCATTATATTATGTCAGATATGAGTTATTCAATAGGATAAATAAATAGTTATTTATTTTAATAGTAATGTTATTGTTCATTGCTTTTTGTATATTGGAGAATTATATGAATGTGACTGGTTAAATCACATGCTGGAGTCTGAGTTACTCAAGCGTTAACAAATGAAAAAATATGGAGAGTTGGTGTATCAGTTGTGTGAATTTGTAAAGCGCGTCAACAAAACTGCGGCAACAAACAGCTTACTAATGCCCGGGTCACATTTGCTCCGATCCATCGGCCGGCACCCGCCCGATTGAGTATTTTGTTCAATATTGTATTCAATTTTGAACAAAATACTCAATCGGCCGGGCGCCGAAGTAAAAATCTGATCAAATGTGACCAAGGCATCACCCAAGATAGGCATCTATGCGGAGTCTTGGTTTTCAGTGTCATTCGAAAGGTTTTGGAGGCCCCAACACACAATAAGACCAACGATGTTCATATGAGCAAATATAAACTGATTTTAAAAGTAAACTAAGCCCAAATAGTTTTTTAATACTGCGAAACCTAGTTACAAACATTAGTTTTTGACTCATTTTGTTCATGTGTCCAATTTAATATGAATCTGTTCTTGAATTTCTACTTACAAGTAGGGGCAATAAATAAGACGAAATGTAGTAGAAATAGCAGATATTTCCTTTCAGGCATGGACTTACAACACAGCTTATTCTATCGTAATTTCTTATTTAGGCCAATGGACATGAAATAATAACAACTTGAATAGTGTTTTCAGCATTTATTTCTCCAAAGCTTATCTCAACAGGTGCATACTGTCAGTTTCATAAATAATTCACTTGTGCATTATCTTTACTCTTTCTCAAATATAACACACCAGTTTCCCTGATCATAATAACTTTCTTTAACTGCAATAGATGGCACTGATCTACACAATTCCTCCAATTCGCCCTGTTTGAACACATGGTAATATCTATGGTATACCTTTTCATTTGAACATACAGGATTATCTTTCTTTTCCCTTGTTTTATTTTTCAGGTGCCAGGGAACAAACATATCTTGGGACTTAAATTCAGTTCTATTTACGTGTGTTTTGAGTTCAATACGAGACAAAGATTCCCCTTTTTCTGTCCTTTCTGATTTACTTTGCACATTTGCATAAGGTTTTTCACCTGTTGCAGTTGAGATAGAGACATCTTTATTTTCCCCATTTATACAGTTCTTTTGTTGCATAATCCCTCGAGTAAGGCCATCTTGGCACTGAACCCCTTGATTAGGGTCATATTGACCCTTAACCCCTTGATTATGGTCATCTTGACCCTTGACTACTTGGTCAGTGTCATTCTGACTATCATCCATTTGTTTATCTTGACTTTGGTTCCCACATTTTAAATCAATTTGCCTGTTGACAGAATCCTCACACTGGATATTAGTTTGTTTGATTTCTTTGAGATAATTTGATTTTTTCTTGTGTAGTTTCTGTTCAACAGCCCAGACAGACACCAGAGCTCTACCTTTGGGTTGTAGTATCCTTGCTAGTTCCTCGATTGCCTTCACTCTCCTGGCCTGCAAGAGAAATGCTCGTGTGAATGTCTTAACACAAGTGAAGCAAGGTTAATTTCAAACTCAAGCATGTATTGCAAGTACCATCACACCTAAAGTTTAGTCTTTGCTCTATGTGGGGCAGGAGGGCGTACGGCGGCTGTATCTTCAAAAATCGATATAGAAAATCTACATCATACTCTTTATGCTGCATATTTCTCTTGATTTTGGGAAGTTATGGCCGCCATGTCACCATCTGCCATTTGTACTCTTTATGTTTATATTTCATGCTGCATATTTCTCTCGATTTTGGTAAGTTATGGTCACCATGTCGCCACCTGCCATTTGTAACAGACACCAAATGCCAACCGCTGTCGGCCAAAAAGAGTCCAGTAAAAGTTTAAAATTATATATAAACAATATGTCACAACTTGTGGTAGTGACATAAAACTTGAACTAACCTGTGTAGAGAAATGATGAATAACTGCTATAGATATTGCCGCATCTACTGAGTTGTCCCTCATTGCCACTTTAAGGGCATCACATACGAAAGCCTGGTGACCTCTCTCCAGACATATCCCAGCGAGATTGCTGCTCCTGTCACAGCCAAACTAGAATCAAACAGTATTTTAGATTTTAACATTTTACATGTGTACCAGGTCCTATAAATTGGTTAACAGGTAGGACTTTTTTAACTGTAAGGTGTAAAGTTCTTTTCTGTATAAATTCTATTTAATGATCTACTATACATTGTATATCCGCTTCAAATGGGTTTATTGGCATTTTGCATATTACTGATCATTAGACTTATCAATATTTCTATAATATATGAACTAAAAATTATGACATAAAAAGGCCTTCATATATTCAATCACATACCTGGCCAATGCTGTTGTTGATTCCTAGATATTTACCATTACCACAGCCAATATCAGCCAAGATACTACCAGGGGCTATATCCTCAACAAAGGACTTCACCTTTGGCCAGGGAGTATGTCTTGTTGCACTGAAGTGACCTGCTATCTCCTCATATACCTAAAGTTTTTTTTAAGAATTTATTCATTTAAAATTTAATTACAAATACATTTAAACATTATATTAATAATACATATAATAAACAATATTATAATAGTAACCTAGGCAAGTAACAAGGGGGAGGTGCGCTTCTAGGGACGGAATAGGGGAGGGTGTCATAGAGAGGAGACTGAACAGTACCTATAGTATGGGGAATAATAAAAATGATAGTAGCATTTATAGTTTATTATTTAAACCACAAGAAAGAAAAGCAACTTAAGCTGGAGGGCTGACTCTATATACAAAAAATATAACAAGCAAATAAAATATGACTAGTGGAAATACCTTATGAACATGTTCCTCTTCTAGTACATCAGCCTCCTCATTCTTGACATCAAGCAGTGAGTTCACAGTATCCCTGGGTGAATCACACTGTGCTTGGTAATCTGTAGAGAGAACATGTCCAAAATTATTTTTGATGTCTCTAAAATATGCTGATGTCATAATTGTTATATCTGTGAAAATCAGTGTCTAATGGAACTTCTGTTCATAGTTTCAATGTTGTACAAAATACAGCCATATTATTGACTACTTATTCATATTTTAAACATCACTTCCATTATATGACCACTGTGGTTAAAGTAGCTTTACACCCAACACTTTACATCCTTCTGGCAAAGGAGACATGACTTATTATCTCAAAAAACTGATTGACAGATCTTTTTCATATTGCGCACATTAACAGTTTAATTTAATTTTACGAAAATCAACATTTTGTCAAAAAGTTCCACCAAATAGTATCAGAACTTTTAATCTTTCAAGAATTCTATTTCTGATATTCCGGTATATGTATACAGTTTATGAAGTGTTAAGTTAAGCATCATATTATTCCTCGCAGATTTTAAAACATTTTCTGTTCAATATTGTGATGACTTTTATCTGCAGTTAATACTTACTGCATTGACAGGGTCCTACAAGACATTTCCTGAAGGTCAATGAGGTCCTAGTTTCTCTCTTAGACAGAGTTAGGCCAGAATTAGCAGGGTCATTTGATGAACAGGGAACAATGTCAAACTTCCTAGGGGTAATACCATGACTCCAAACATATCGAGACTCTTTTGTCATCACCTAACAAAAAAAATCAAAACATAAGAAAATGTAACCATTTCTTTGCAAATGAGTTCAAAAATGTAACATTTTCATGACAAGAGGGTGGAAATGAGTAACATGTTATCATTTCAAGGTAATACTTCTAACCATTGCCTTTCTTCTAGATTGTAAATCATGGGTAATTTTTACTCTGGAGAGTGTAAACCTCATACAATAAATAGTGCTTACCATTGCACTTCTCCTTGGTAATAAAACAGGACTGATGTTACCACTGGGGTGTCTAAACTCCATTACAACTTGGCAGCCCAAACTAATAGATACCAGACCATCCTCAAAAGCTGCAACAAATAAGTTGATCGTTATGAGTTCAGCTAAGCAATATAGTTGCTGCAGAATCTATAGACAAGGCATTAACATGTAAAACATCACCACATACCATTTGTTACAGACACAGAATGCCAAACATTAGAGACTATAACAATTATGTCACCACTTGTAGTGGTGACATAAAAATTGTATAAATTGGGAAGTTGAAACTTTGATATGTTTCAACTTAATTGCAACATACTTTGATGTAAAAAGCAGATTTCTTCAAAACAAGGAAAAAAGTGGGAACTTGAACCATTGTTCTAAAAAATTCAAAGTGGCCATGAAGTCTATTATCCAGAATGCCAAAAATCCAGTCAGATCTTGGCACTTGTCTACTCTTGAATCTGTAAAAATGTGTGACAAAGTTGAACAGGTTCCTGGAATTTTGATATATGTGGTCCCGCCTTGCAAAGACAGGTCAATGCACCCATGCAAGCACACCCATCGGCACAAGAACAACAATGAATACTAGTATTGCACTTTGAAAAACTGTACCTGAATGCGTATCAATATGTGGCGGAATTCCTTGGCCAGGTGCATACTGATTCACTGTCAGCTGATCTGGATATGATGTAATATACTTTCCCTGAATGAGTCTATCTAAAACTTGTTCACATTGAGATGGTATACCATCCTTTAGAGGGCAGTTCAGGTCGACATTGTTTATACCATAGAGGAACTCATAGCCATAATGCTTCACTTTCCGGTGCTTTAATGACCCAATAGCTGAAATAAAACATGCATCAATTACAATAACTGAAACATAGTAGGGAGCTTGGGTCCATTGGAAGACAATAAATGGACAAGGATTATTAAATAGAGATAAAATATTAATGACACCAAAAACTACATGCAATGCACATTGTACAAGTACTTCTTAATTCCATCAAGGTTGAGTCTATGGGTTGAGCCCAAACATGTATCATACGAGCTAGGTGGTGTTTTCAAGAAGTATGGTATCAGAGGTAAAAATGTTATGTATATACAATGAAAAAGTGCTTCTAACTTCCATCAAAGTTGAGTCTATTATAGATAAGGCCCATCAGATGCAAGGTGCGTAGTGTTAAGGTGTATGGCAACATAAAGTCTATTATAGATAAGGCCCATCAGATGCAAGGTGTGCAGTGTTAAGATGTATGGCAACATAAAGTCTATTATAGATAAGGCCCATCAGATGCAAGGTGTGTAGTGTTAAGATGTATGGCAACATAAAGTCTATTATAGATAAGGCCCATCAGATGCAAGGTGCGTAGTGTTAAGATGTATGGCAACATAAAGTCTATTATAGATAAGGCCCATCAGATGCAAAGTGCGTAGTGTTAAGATGTATAGCAACATAAAGTCTATTATAGATAAGGCCCATCAGATGCAAGGTGTGTAGTGTTAAGATGTATGGCAACATAAAGTCTATTATAGATAAGGCCCATCAGATGCAAGGTGTGTAGTGTTAAGATGTATGGCAACATAAAGTCTATTATAGATAAGGCCCATCAGATGCAAGGTGTGTAGTGTTAAGATGTATGGCAATATAAAGTCTATTATAGATAAGGCCCATCAGATGCAAGGTGTGTAGTGTTAAGATGTATGGCAACATAAAGTCTATTATAGATAAGGCCCATCAGATGCAAGGTGTGTAGTGTTAAGATGTATGGCAACATAAAGTCTATTATAGATAAGGCCCATCAGATGCAAGGTGCGTAGTGTTAAGATGTATGGAAACATAAAGTCTATTATAGATAAGGCCCATCAGATGCAAGGTGCGTAGTGTTAAGATGTATGGCAACATAAAGTCTTGAAACTCTGATGAGACATCTGTGATACAATGATTCAATATGACTGATATTTACCAGAATCAGGGGTCCTGTCATTCCAATCAATTGCTGCTAATAATGATTGCTCCTCTTCCTCTGAAACAAACTCTTCCAAAATGATCAGTCCCTCGGGTAATTCAGATTTGAGATTTTTGGAGTTAACATCAGAACCTGTAACATCCATTACATACATTTGTACTTTTGGCTTTTGGGCGAGGGAATTCAGGTAAGCTATAATAAGTCACTTAAATGTAAACTAAAACTAGTGCATTTCAGTACTGTTAAATGGGAAAATATGTCCACTGAATTTCATTTTTTTTAAATCGCTATGTACATGTACACATGTCCATACTCACCTGGTTCAACATAGGCAATATAAATATTTACTCCACTACTACAGTTTGGTGCTTGACTTTCTTCACAAGCTATCACAGCTCCATTGAGATTTTCCATTGCATCTTTCGCACTTTCAACTAATGTGTAGCTAACAAAAGCATATGGTTTGCCCACAGGTGTGCTTATATCTGATATCTGTCCATATTTGGAAAAAAGATTGAATACTTGTTCCCGTTGGATACCATTGCCCAATCCAGCATTTCCTACATAAAGAAACTGAAAGGAAACAAAAAGTATTTGTAAGCACTTATGTGAAACAAATTGGAAAAACTTGAGAATTGGAAAATTCCAATGATTGGATTAACATAATTGTAAATTCTTAGAACATATGGTAGTAGGCACCATGTGTGGTATAAGCAGTACATGGAACTCACATTGCTTCAACAGCCTATCAAAAAAATACTGCAGATTTTTTTTATTATTTAAAATATTTATTCTCTAAATTAAAAATCATATACAACACTAGATACTTTTAATAAGTGTGATCAGTGTGAAAATATTTAATAGTAACCTGAGTCACATCGAAATATGAAAAAACGCATTTAAAATCTTTATGAAATGATAGCATTTTTCTGAATAGTGGTTACGGCCTTCCCCCTGCCCCAAAATTCTTTCAAAATCTTTTTTGGACCAAGATTGAACCCCCTGGAATTTTTCAAAAAGTCCCCCCCCCCCCCCCCTCTTGACCAATCATGTAGTGCACCAGTATATGTAGCACTGGGGCAGCAGAGGTTGCAAATTAGCCTCCAAAAATAGTATGTTTCTCACTCAAAGGTAAACAGAATCAGCTTAAGAAGATCTTAAAATATGTTTTCAAGTCAAACCATGGGCTTTCAATTAGAGAAAGCCCATGGTCAAACATAAGTCATTTCAGAGAAAAATTGCATCACATTCATTGAAGTAGGGTTAGTGTTTCCAAGATTTCTTACATTTTTACAAAAGACCTTTATAATAGACTGGGAATATCAAGTTTTTCATAGCCATCAATCTAAAGATGGCTTTGTGCAAATTTACTATATTTGCACATAGCCTTCTTTTAGATAGATGGCTATGCAAAACTCGATATTCCCAGTCCTTTATAAAGGTCCATTGGAAATGGTTGAATTGAAACTCGGTTGAAACTCAAACTCACTGTAAAATATTTTTCTGAATTTAGTTTGAAGTTGAACTACTGCGAGTAGAATGGCTGATTACCTTTGTTGGAGTCGTTGAAGGTTGAGTTGCTGAATGTTTGAGTAACGTTCCGATGGATCTATGCTGCTTTTTAAGTAGCTTTTTATCATGTTTTGACATATTTTTCATTTTATTTTTTGTAACCGGAAGTGTATGGTCGTCCATGATTTGAGGAATGGTAAAGCTGAAACGAAATTTAAAATTTACTAAATTCACATGACGAACCTGACATCTTTTAACATCGTTACTCTTAAAAAGCAAGAAAGCTCAAGCAAATGTTA